CCCCAAAACCCCAAAACCCCAAAACCCCAAAACCCCACGATATTTAATATTTCCTAAAACATGATTCTAATTTATTTTATTAATAATAAAAATTCAAATCTAATCAGTCAATCAATAAATCATTCAATTAAGACAATAAATGTCAAACTTTAAATGGACTTTTTTCTCTCTCAAGAAGACTATTGATGAGACTATTTTTTATCTCCTTCAATGTCATTGTTTTTATCCTTGCCAGTCATCATGTCCTAATCTTGCTAATTACCATTGTTGTTGTGGTTTTAACTATTGTTTGTAAAGTTGTTCAGCTATCCTAGTGAATTAGTAGTGGTACCATTAACTCCTAAGCCGATATGACTAATGTTGTTTCTACTAGTTTATCTTCTATCAAGTCCAAGAAGCTGAGTAAAAGTTTTAAGTGATTAATCAGAGGCCTATCTGTTGAAATTGTTATCATTACTCATTCCAAAGCCACCATTATACATAAAACTATTTTGTAGCTCATTAAGAGAATTGTTAGAGTTCATTGGTATAATAAGCTGAGGATGAATCAAGAAACCACTGTCTCCTCCTCCGTTAGCTCTCAACTGATGCTGGGCAAAATTGGTTGGACTTGAAAATTATTCTCTTTAGGAGAGATTAGCTGAATTTAAAAGGAGGGAATTATGAATGATTGGGTTACCTTTTTAGAACCCTCTTTAACCTTGAAGCATGGCATTTCCCAAATTCTAGGGAGATGCAGATTGCTGTTGCAATTTTCTGGCTAGAGGACTATAGAACAAAGCATTACTACTATTTGCTTAGCTAGTCTAGTTAACTAGGGATGAATTTAAAAGCATCCTCATATCTTTACACTATTCATTTTGCATTTATTGATTTCTTAATTGGAATTACTGTAATTACATATCTGCATCAAAATTAAGCATTTAGAGATTCTAGCTGCTTAACATTTAAATTTAAGCTAACTAAGAACTTGTTATTTCTCCACTTGCTCCAGCCATCATCATCTGATGTATTTGAGGACTATTAACCTAGTTGAATATGTTTCCTGACAAGAAAGACGAAATATTACCGCTTACTGAACCCGGTAAAGTAGGAGTGGTAGAATTGGCATTTGTGCTGTTATTATGCTGCTACTAAGTTGTATTTTATTGTGTCAATTGCTATTGCATTTATGAAGTAAGTTACTAAAGTTTAGGGAAGAACAAGCTATCATTGTTCTGGTTTCTAGCCTCTATAATACTCGCTGAGAGTGCATTCATGTTTGTGTTTGAAGTTTTTTCAGCAGGAGATGAAGATTTTTTGTTGCCATTTTGATTAGAGCAAGTGTTATTGGCTGGAGTAGTTGCTGATTTAGAATCTCTATCTTTTTTGCTTGATTTCTTCTTCATATCTTGTTGAGTCTCATTGTCACCATCAATGCTAGAACTACTAGAATGGCCATCATCAAGATTGTCAAGATCATAAAAATCTTCCTTAGGAGAAGGATTTTCCTTGTTTAAACCATCAAGCAATGCTTTATTTAGAAAAACACTAGTTGATGCTACTTCTTTGTTGACCTGCTTTCGTGGTGGTGAGGATTCTAACTAAATAGTTGTAGGCCGTTGCTAACGTTTACCAAGGATGGATTACTACTCTTAAGCAGGTGATTGATCCTATTTGATAATTTCAAGCTTAAATTCTAAACGATCAGAATTTGTTAATTTGATGCTCTCTTGCTTTTTTATTTCTTTTAGCTTAGGTGGAGAGATTTATTCTTGATCCTTAAGTGCAGGAGAGCTTGTTAAATCCTTTTGTGATTACTTCTTGTTATTGCTTTTTTTAGTCTCCTCTTTTTTCAAGTCTAAAGCAAATAGATAATTAAATTTTGACTCATATGACTTGAATTTTGTAGACTTACTCTGTAAGTTTGAGGTATTCTTGCTTGAAGATTGAGTCTTTGGGCTTTGTTTTTATTTTCTAATCTCTAAAGAGCAAACCTTACTCAGAGGATCTTTATCAAGCATTTCTGACTCTGACATATTGGAAATTTCTTCTTCATCCTTAGCATCTCCTTTTTTGAATGAGACTTTCTCATACTATATATGATTAAATTAGGATCCATTATTATCAATTAAACTTTATTACAAAAAGAGACAAAGAATTAAGCAAAATGCATATCTATATTTAAAGAGTATTTTGCTTAATCCTTATTTCAAAAGTATTTTCAGCATAGACAAAATTTGGAATAACTGAGCACTTACATCAGTATTGTAATATATTTCCTTGATTTGAGGATAGTTTCCAGCCTAGTTGATAAATAGATCCTCTCCTTTTATTGATTGATAAGAGACCAACTTCTGATGAGTTACATCTTGCAGAATCATATTGATTTAGATACCACAGAGGATGGAAAGTTCCATTGCTTTCTTTAGCAAGCCCTTCTTCCTTTTACAGTATGTTACCTAAAGCAGAGTGAGTTAAAGAATGAGCGGAAGCACAATAGAATTAGAAGTGAGTTAGAGTGTATTACTTACCTATCTCAACCTGTCATCTGGTATTATTGTCATTATTGATATTTTCTTTCTGCCCATTCTATAAAATAGTTGTTTAGTTGGCCATTATTCTTTCCGTATTATGATCAAATTTTCTTATTTTAGCAACAATAGACTTACCTTTTTCTAAATTTGGAAATTAGACCAAGGAGTAACCTTCTTTAATGATAATTAAATATTGGCAAATAATATAAAACATATTTAAAGTTAAAATTTTGCAATAAGCTTGATAAACTTTTATCCTTAATATTAGATGATGTCTGTTTTAATCTATTTAAGTAAATGTTGATGTCTTATAAAACAGTAAATCTATCTTGACGGGGTTTTGGGGTTTTGGGGTTTTGGGG